GAGGAAGTCATGTGACAAAAGGAAATTCACCCTACAATTCCTTGTGGGTTCCCACTTGTAGCTTTCTAAGTGCCACTGTGAATATAGGCAAGGTAATAGTAATTTTGAAAGCACCAGCAAATTTTGGCTTCCGATGACCTGTGCTGGGATCTGATTTTTCTCTGGGATCCAGAGGTTTTAAGAGTCCCACTTTGGAAGCAGAAAAACAGATTCACTTGTGCTTCTAAAATCCTTACAGTTATGTTCTTGGTGGGAAAATCGAACAATAATCTCATAATTAGTTTTTAAATGCAAGTTTCTATGCAGAAGTGAAGCTTGTGTTTCTGTCTGGAAAAACACTAGAGAGATAGTTGAACTAAATGCCCCATATACTCTTGTTAATCTGAGACAAGCATTTTCTGCTGCATATTTTTTGTCAGCTTTAAGTGTTGGTGAAACAACATTCTTTCATTGTTATAAATGCAAATTCTATATTTTGAAATAGGATTTGCATTTTCATATGAAAACTAGCTTTGCACAAAGTGCCCTAGCTGGTGGTTTTTTAAAAAATAATAATAATAAAACACACATCCCAGTATTTATTGATATATTAACGTAAATGGTTTAAATATATTTGTAATCTGGTAGTATTTTTCCATTGATTCCAAATTTAAATTAAAATGGATTTGGCCTGATCATGTATGCTGTTACCTTTGATTCCTCCAGCAGATATAAAAAAATAATTTTTTCCCTTAGCTAATTCAGAAGGTAAATTCCTAACGTAAGAAATTAAGTTTCACCTCGAGACTAACTCTTGTGTTCAAGACAGTTCCTAGATCTTGTTCCAGAATGCAACTCCAGCAGATGAACTTAGTGAGTACGGTGAATCAGATCTGGTTTTGATTTTCCACTTGATCAGAAGCAGATAATTATATGACCCTCATTTAGTGAGAATTTTGAGAAAACGTCTCATAACCACCTCATATACTGCATGGAGCCATTTCATGTGTGACATACTTGGGTTCTGATACCTAAGTAAGAAAGAGAGAGATATCTTTTCCAATTTAAAATACCTATGCTTGGACATCCTTTTCCATGCCCGCTGTGTATTTTAAATGAAAAAAAAAATGTTGTGGTTACATATTTTATGTTCATGCATTCTTCATGTCTTAAATGATACGTGTGCTTGTTACACTCCATTATTGGGGCCCAATTTCAAAATATCATCTATTAAGTAATCTCTGCATGCTGAAATAGCAAAAAGTTAGTGGAAAGGCAGACGGAGTTAGTCTCTTTTAACACATCTGAAGAGAAATAGCACCGATAATACTTTATTGACCAGTAGTTCAAATGTTCTCGTGCAGATTTGGAAGAGATTTCAGTTCTCTAGTCATTTCTTGAAAACCATAAAATACATTACATATAAATATATATTAGTGAATCTGCAAAGTTTAAGTTCTTATTTGCTCATCCCTGAAAATACAATTGCCATTTGAATATTTAACTATAACTAACTGTTGTCTATTGCAATGTAGTATGGAACAGAATAGTTTTAAAATGGAAAGCCTTGGACTCAGTAGGCTTGTTTCTAATTAAATATGCATAGTATTGGACTGCATGTGCCTTCCACTGGAGCTATTTAAAGTATAGTTTAGCTTTTTAATACTTGGCATTTTAGTAATCCTAAAGTATCTGTATGCATACATGGGCTCTTTGTCAGCAGTGAAAGACATTCTTATGTGGCTAGACAAAGGAATGTGACCAAGAATTAATGGCAAAATAGAGCCTGTCTTACTAGCAGTAAGTGTATGCCTGTACCTTGTTGCTGCAGATGTACATAATGGTATATTTGAGGCATTTAACTTGCAGCATAATTTCAACATGGTTTGTGCTAACTGTAATTTAGAATCCAAACCATGGCTGGAGGGTTCCAGCAAACAGACTTCCTGCTCCCAGATGCCACTACCTGAAGCTGCAGTGTGTGGGCTTCAGTTCCAGCATTAATATACCCTATGGACTTATTAGGAAGTCTAGCTGGTTGCCCAGCAGTGATGGAGTGAGTCAGGTAGATCTGTGTGTTGACTTTATGGTGTGGTACATCAGTCTCCATAGGATTTGGAATGAGAATGGTAGTATTTTTGTTTTTTCTTATATTAGCACAATTTCAAATCAGAAATCCCCCTTCCCCAAATCATCACCCTCTTAATCCATTTGTAAGACTCCAGAGAGAAGGGTTGCTTTTAAAAAGGTGTATTTGGGGGGGGGGGGGATCTGCCTGGTTCTCTGCCTCAGAGGTCTTCCCTTCTAATAAAGAGAACTAAATCCAGGACTGCAGATTCTGTTGACCTGAATGGTGAACTCTGGGCACATCATTTGACCTTTCTTGATTTTAGAGTAGGAGTTCAATTTTTTATCATAATTGCACCATTATATGGTCCCAAAGGAAACTGAGGAAGTTTAGAGTATTTTTTTCTTCTGTTTTTACCCTTGTACCTACCAACTGAAGGTATTTTTCATAAAGTTCTCTAAGCTTCAATTTATTCTGCAGCAAGCTGAGAAAATGGTGGCATATTTGCAAGACAGTGCCCTGGATGATGAAAGACTAGCAGCCAAGCTTCAAGATCAGAGAGCAAAGGGCTCATCAGTACCGTTATTCCATGAGTCCATGCAAAAATGGTACTATAAAGATCCCCAAGGAGAAATTCAGGGTAAGCTCTGTCTCTTGTTTTTTGTTATAAAGCACTATTGAAAAATTGAATACAATCCTGTATATATATATATATGCAGTGTACCAGAAAGTACCAGTACTTTCCTAAAAGTAGGATTGGAGTGAGGAGAGGTGGGTTTGTTGGGTACTAGAGAATATGTATAGAAAATTTCCATCAGAATTACAGTTGCCACACTTTGGCTGCGGTCACACGGAACAGAAGCCACACAAGTGAGACGGAAAACAGGCGGAGTTTCCAGGCGCGATCTCACCAGCACATCTGGGAAGCGTAGCACTCCCGTGGCTCAAGCGAGGTTTCCAGCCGAAACTGCATGGCAAAAAACTAGTACCTCAGAGGTACTAGTTTCCAGAAACTGCGGGGCAAGGGCGGGCGTCTGATCGCGTTTCCGGTGGCATCCGGCGCCCGCCCATGTCCCCTTGCAAATAAGGTGTTGTTTTTTTTCCCCCAAGTCTCTGTGGATGCGCACACGCACCCAACGGAGCATGCGCATTTGTCATGTACACACAAAAACAAAACAGGTTGCCGCGGCGTGCGCTTCTTCATTGCGCGCCGGCTTGTCCTGTGATCAGCACCTCTCCCTTGCCATGGAACCTCCACGGTACCTCCACAGGACCTCCACGGGAGGTCTGATCACTTAACTGCGCAGTAGTTTGCCCCAGGGCAAACAGCCACGCTTCTCCCCCGCAGTTTCCTGCCCGTGTGACCGGGGCCTTTGTTCATCATATAAGCCACCATGGCCTGTCTTCAGCCAATCATGCCCATTGTTGGTGGGGGAATGTCAGTATTTTTTAGTGCCTTTCCACATAACATTCCTTTTTGTATTATGATTACTCTAATTGTTGGGCACAAAACCTGCTGGACACATCTGGCATTGTAACCCTATGGAATTTATTACCATATGTGTTGTTGGGTGATTTTTGCAGGTCCGTTCAGTAATCAGGAGATGACAGAGTGGTTCCAGGCTGGCTATTTCACAATGTCTCTATTGGTGAAAAGAGCTTGTGATGAGACCTTCCAGCCACTTGGAGACATCATGAAAATGTGGGGAAGGGTCCCTTTTGCTCCAGGTCCAGCACCACCTCCTCACTTGGTAAATATTTAAGAAACATAATCTGTAAAACAATGAACTCTAAATCAAGACCATTTTAATAATAATAATAATAATAATAATAATAATAATAATAATAATAATAATAATAGTAATAGTAATAATAATAATAATAATACAATCTGTAGAGCTTTGTATGATGTAGTATAACATGATGGTTAATAAAATAAGCTGTGATTTGAGAGGTTTCCAGTTCAAATTGCTCTCAGTGACAAATTTAGTAAGTTGCCTTGGGCAAACTAGACCCCTTCACTCTGTCTCCTATCTGCAGTATAGGAATACATTGTCCTTCCTAACAGGAGTATTGTAATGATAACTGTTACTTGAATGTGCTGTACACATACTTAATGGAACTATGATTAGCTTTATGCTACCAGAAAAATGTTTTTTTTTTCTGTATTAGTTTCTGTTTTTAACAGACATGAAACAGGGAGTCAGGAAAGGAAATATGGCTTATTTTAGTGATTTTTAAAAATATATTGATAATTTATGAATTTTATAATGTTTTTACTTGTAAGCTGCCCTGAACAGAACTCTGGAGAGGCAGCATAAACATTTCCTAAATGAACAAAAAAAATGTATTTATTTATTTGATACATTTATAGACCACCATTCTGATATTACATTCCAGGCAACAATTCAGAATTACTAGCTATGATGTAATACATTGGAAAAAGAAACAGGAAAGGAAGAGCGAAATAAGCAAATTCAGGCACTAACTCTTATTCCATAATACCCAGATAGAATAGCTGCACAGAGACAATTCTGGGAGGAGGGCAGGAAACAAATGACGGTTTGTCCTGAGCCAAGCTAGCAGAGGGGGCCTCAGTATTTCACCTCTTCCTCTGATGTCACTAGATGTGCTTCCACTTCCTAGAAGTGGAACAGACAGTAAAGCTCCTTGTTGTCAGTTTATCTAGAGCTGTTCTTCTCTAACAGTGGACTTCTTCAACCCCCAAAGTAAACAGATGCTGCTTCAGTTTGCATCTGATTGAGCTGTTTCTAGGCACAATGAATAGTAGGGGGAACAGAAATAGAGTGGGGCTTGCAAAACGTATAAGATAGGACCGTGTCTGCCTCCTCTTAACAGATTCCTGTTATCTGAATCCAACTGGTCCTGCTGTACTTTACCTGTGTGGTTTTGGCACACAGGATCTCTCTTTCCTCTACGCTGGAAGAAGTCATGGGGGTAAATGAAACCATCATGTCTGTCTTCAAGCAGAAGAGTATGCATCTTCTGCACACTGATAGAGAGCACTGGATTCAGCTTCCTGTGCCTTGGAATAGCCCAGTGATTGAATCCCGATTATTTCCTTTATTGCTCACTTTACAGTATACTTTCTGCAATGAACAGTGTGCAGTATTATGTATTTAATTTATTTAAAATAAGTATTTCCCACCTGCGCAGCCTGAATACATGAAGCTGCCTTATACTGAATCAGACTGTTGGTCTATCAAGGTTGTGTAATCTTGACTGGAAGTGGCTTTCCAGGGTCTCAAGTGGAGGTCTTTCACATAACTTTTTTTTTTAACTGGACATGCTGGGGATTGTATGCAGTGCAGATGCTGCACCACTGAGCCATGACTCCTCCCAAAGTTGTATCCTGTCACTCTGTCCAGCCTTTTGTGAGAGCAAAGCCTATTCTATTAGCAGAAGCCTCTTGCGCCAATAGAATATGCCATGCACTGATGGAACATCCCATCCTTAGCTTAGCAGAGTGGTAGGATATAACTCCATAGTTTTTGAGACAACTTAAGTAAAAATTGCAGTTAAAATGCAACAGTAAAAATTGTAATTAAAAGGCATCAGTTCATAAGCATCTGTAATTAAGCATTAAAATCAGCATCTCACATCAGTTATTGAGAAAGACAAGATAAACCAAATGCCAGGGAGCAGGATAAAAAGTTTTAGCCTGGTGCTTTCTTCCATATTGTACAGCCCACCGATTAACTTCCGTCTCACAAGCACCGCACCTTGTGCTCCCCACCTTCAGAGGTGAGGTGGGTGGCAGCCAGAGACAGGGCTTTTTCAAGTGGCACCTTGCTTGTGGAATTGTGGAAGGCCCTTCCCCTTGAGACTTGCTTGGCACCTCCTTTGCCAAAATGCTTCTGTTCACCCAGACTTTTAAGTAAACTCTTTTCTCGTCTGGAAACTTACTTTAAGCTGTCAGTGGTCAGTTTCATGGTGTATGTTTTTATCCTGGGGTTGGGTAAAATATAAATATGATTACGTCTCAGAACCCGAAGGTAGTTACTACTTCCAGTGGTTGCTGTGAGACAGGATCCTCTCCTCATGGATAGCAGGATAACTGAAAATAAAGCTAGTATCTGCATAATTGCTTAATTTGCCTAATAGGTACAAGTCACAGGTTAACTTTCTTATTCCAGAATTTGAGATGTCAGACTGTAGAACTGTGATGTTTAATACAGAGTATATACAGCCATTTTACATATAGCAAAGCTGGGTATTAACACTGTGTTGTGACTGAGCAGATCCTCCACACCAGGAAATTAATGAATGCAGAAAGTTGATATTTTTTCCAAAGTTCATTTATTGTTTTGTTTCTCATCCACAGGGTGAGTTGGACCAGGAAAGACTGTCTAGACAACAGGAACTCACGGCCATGTACCAGATGCAGCATATGCAGTACCAGCAGTTTTTGATGCAGTAAGTCTAGAGAAAGATCTGCTGAGGGCTGTGTTGTGCTGCTTTAGTTATCTAGGCTCACCTCTGTGACAGTAATACTGGTAGAGCTGCTGCACCACCACAGTGTGCTGGACATCTGTGCAACATGCAGTGATTTTGAGGGCATTGAGGTAGACGTGCCTGCCATTCATATGCCATTTTGTATTTCTTGTTTTCATGCAGCACATGGCTATTTGTGCCATTTGCAAGAGAAAGTATCTGCCTCACTGTAACCTCCCACCTACCCTTACATTACTGTGATAGTGAACACTGGGTCTTCCTTGTATCTGGGTGGCATGTGAAGAAGCTACCCTGGATCCTCTTTGTTGAAAGTACATACCCGAGTAATTGTTCATGTGGTTTTTGGTCATTTCTGTCTAAATTCTTATGCAACACGTGTTCTTAGAGTATTTGCCTCTGATGAACATTCTGGTTTGAAAATTGTGAGATGAGCTATTGGCATATGCTCTAGCAATTTTATTTTGCATTTTTAAATGAAAAAACATTATGAGCTACAAGATACTAGAGTAAGTGTAATCATTCTGTAGATAAGCACTAAACTTTTTCATTCTCTTTTAAAGACAACAGTATGCACTGGCACAACAGCAAAAAGCAGCCCTCTCATCTCAGCAACAGCAGCAGCTGGCTCTCCTCTTGCAACAGTTCCAGGCACTTAAGATGAGGTGAGAATGCGCAGGTCTTAGAGCCGCTTCACATATGAAGTAGTTGACTACTGAGTGTCCACTCAACCAGAAGCTGCGGTCAATTACCACTAGAACACCTGTAGGCTGCAAACATATTTGTTGCATTCACACTTTACATTTTTAGATGAACATTTAGAACATCATAGGTATATATGTAAATATGTAATGTATAAAGTGTCCTATCCGCAACAGTTAGTGGCTGTTTAGTTCAAACGCACTTTGTGCTAGTATTGTTAAGAATGTGCCATTTTTCAGGTGTAGTATGACACAAACAAAACTGAGTGAAAACTTGGTGTCACTTTGTTCATGATAACTTTGTTCTTGTTAGTCTTGTCCCTGTATTCAACAAATTCTACCCTCCACCACTGTAAGTACAAAAATTCGCACTGAAATGTCAGACAGTTTTGATAGAAGGCTGCTTTTTGAAGCTCATGGAGCAATACTGAAATTAAAGGAAGTTGCATAGTAATGCCTTAATATGGCTATTCAGGCTGCTAAGAAAAGAGAGTTCAGGGGCAGTGTTAAAATTTAAAACAGTTCCATTGTGATAGCGGAGTAGAACTAGGTTTTGAGGTCAGCATGCTGAGTCATTATCCTTACCTTACAGGAAGTCTGAGCAGAACATAGTACCACCTGTAACGAGGTCTGTGACAGTGCCAGATACGGGCTCTATTTGGGAACTTCAGTCAACAGCCCCACAGGCTACAGGTGTGAAACCATTTGTGAATATTTTAGTATTAAGGTCCCTTTAAATAACTGTTTCTTTTTCAATAATATATTAGTTCCAGCTGGTGTTGGAGGAAGTGGGTACATTTTTATCACTGACAATATCAGGTGAATTATGCAAAAGTAAAAGAGGTTTTATTTTCTGTCTGTACACAGAAGGATGTTGCGGTGGGCAGGGTATAAGGCTCAGTATGGAAAGTTGGACTCTCTTCCCGTTTCCCCAGTTTACAGGTTTAATTTCTTCCACAAAGATTAAAATACAGACATGAGTGTTCTGTTAGAAGTTGGATTGTGGGGATGTCATTTGGAGTGCATGAGAAGAATTTATTTGAAACATGAGGAAAAGAAAGCAGGTTCATTGGAAATTTTCATTTAGATTTGTTTCTGAAATAGCTGTAAAATATCTGCCTCTAGCCTATTGGACATTTTATTGTATTTTATCTGTGTCTCCCACTTTAATATTACTTGTTCTTAATATGCCTGTATTTAATTAGAAGCTTTTCTACAAGCATTTATTTTCATGTGCTTATTTTTGTATATTTAATGCTTTTGCATGTATTCTGCTCTTTCTGCGAGGAAAATTCTGACTTGATGCATACAGTACATTTGTAAAATCCAGCTGGATCTTTACCTTTTTAGATTTTCAAAGACGTTAGGAGTACAGGCCAAGAAACAGAGGGGTTCCTCTAAATGAGATTCCATCCCAGGCCTATGTATTATGACATTCATAAATTCTTAGTGAATTGACCAGCATACAATATACCACTACACATTTCTGTTCTCTTGATTTAATATTCATTAGTACACAGCCTTTCCCCCACCCTTTGTTTTGCAGTCTGGGAAGGAAGCAGTGTCTGGGATCTCCCAATTGATACTACAGCTCAGGGACCAGCTCTAGAACAATTGCAGCAGCTTGAAAAGGCCAAAGCTGCAAAGGTAAGAAATGGTAATCATAGATTACTTATCACTGGCAGTTCCAGTTGTAATCTCTGTCAGTTCCATTTTCAAGATTACTGTTATGGTCTCTGTTGCCACATTTGGAGTACAACAAGTGATGAAGACATTGTTTTTTCTGGAACAGATGTTGCTCATTCATTGATTCATCTTAAAAGATATATATATTCCACTTCCCCAAGCTATTAGTCCATGGAGGTTTATTAAAAAAAATAAAAGATACAACAAAAATCATAAAATACAAACAGTTATCAGCACATAATATACAACAGCAGCACATATATTAAAACAGCAGTAGATTAATATGAAGAGAATCTAAATGCAATAAAAGCAGCTAGATTAAAATAGCATTCAGTTAAAATACAGATATTAAAAGGTATCATAAAAATAATAAGCCTGAGGCAGAAGAAAAAATGGAAACAAAAGTCAATCATATAAAAGTATGAGACTGGAATGTCTGCCTGATGCCTAAAAGCTTGAAGAATTGGCACCAGTCAAGCCTATTTGAGCAGTAAGTTCCATAGTTTCTGGTCTCACTGGTGCCTGAAGATTAACTGTTTTTACAAGAGATCACATAGGCATGATTTAAAGAAGACATTTTCTATCAAATCAAACCAGTAGCTAAAATAAAGGATGGTAATGTGAAACCAGTTTGTACTATAAGAGCAAGAATCACTGTATATGGTATAGAGATATTTCACTTACTGTGGACTTAACTTCCAACACCAGTTCTGTACTTTCAGCTAGAGCAGGAGCGGAGAGAAGCAGAACTAAGGGCCAAACGAGAAGAAGAGGAGCGAAAGAGGCAGGAGGAGCTTCGGAGACAACAGGAAGAACTTCTTAGGAGACAAGAGGAAGAAAGAAAAAGACGAGAAGAGGAGGAGCTAGCTCGCAGGAAGCAGGTGATTTCTCAAAAATGTGCTGTAAATGTTGCAGCAGTATCATAAAAAGAACCCATTTTCATGACTTTGTGGGTGTGTGGAGGAAGTTAGAAGTTAATTTTGCCTGTTCCATCTCTTGTGTAAAATTGTGGTCCATTTTATGTAAAATTTATCCTACATCTTCCAAAAACAACTAATTGTGTTGTTTTTGTTCTAATGTTGAATGGATATCTCCTGTAGGATGCATAAAATTCCAGTTTGTCTGATAAATGGCAGAGTTCTCTTCATGCTAAGAACGAAGATTCAGTCTGTGAAACTGCAAACATAAAATTGTCAGAGAGTCAGCATTTTTATTACATAATCCAAGACAAATAAAACAGATACCAAAAAAGTATATTCCAGTTAACCAATTTAAATAACAAATCCAAGAGATTTGGTTAGGTTTACACTAGATAAACAAAATTATTTATTTATTTTATTCAATTTATACCCCGCCCTTCCCGCTATGCGGGCTCAGGGTGGCTTACAGGAGGCATACGCCAATATAAAACATACATAAAACCATTTAAAATTGCTTTAATCCAATAACCTTATTAACAAGTTATTAACAAAGTGCTCTAGATGTTCAAAATGGTATTTCCCAAGATGGTGTATTGTGCTCTATTGCAAGTAGCAATATTTAAACCTTTCCTCCTCAAGGAGAAAATTCAATGTAACACATAAATGTATTCAAAATAGACTTTGCTCGCATGGTTTGGTAAAGAAGTATTCCAAAAGCTTGTGTGAAAAGTCTTCAGTTTGACCAAAACCACAATCTCACTTCTGAACTTTTTTCCCTGTTGTCTTGCTAATACTTTTGCACACTTTAACTGGCATCCTTAATCCCAGTGTAAAGAATAAGCAATGAATCTTATTGAAATTCACTGAAGTTTTTAGCTGTTTACACCATCACCGTCTTGTAACTTGCCTAACTGCCATGTCTTATCGCTTAAAATATTAATTATTCTGTCTTTGATTGTGGTCTCAGCTGTAGCAAAATAAAACAGGAGCTGAATGGCAAGTTAAAGGCTAACAAGATGTAACTTTCCTAAATCAGCACTCAGCAGTTATGCTGGAATAATTTTTCCTATTCTCTACCTGACATCTTTATTTCTCTTGTAGGAGGAAGCCCTGAGGCGACAGAGGGAACAAGAAATTGCACTAAGACGGCAGCGGGAGGAAGAGGAACGGCAGCAACAGGAGGAAGCACTTAGAAGACTTGAGGAGAGGAGAAGAGAAGAAGAGGAAAGACGGCAGCGAGAAGAGTTGCTTCGTAAACAGGTGAGGAAAAGGGCAGTGTTGCCTTGTTCAGAACTGTATGATTTGCGCATACACTTGGTGACTGCAGCAAAGGTCACTTGCATCTATTTATGAGCCATTCATATTAATATGACACCTGACACCAGCCGTAGAGCTTCCATGTTTCTTCACATTACCTACAGTGTGTAGGATCCAAGGAGCCATGAGCAGAACTACTTTTCTGCAAAAAGCACTTGCACAAAAATCCATACAGTTTATAGGAGTTTGGTCCTTTGTCCAAGGTGGGAGCTAGAGGAAGTTTCTGCTTGAGATCCAAAAGGCTGAATAAACTGCTGTGCCTTGCACCTTGTTCTTTTTTTCTCCTACCTACCAGTGTGGCCTTATTTTCTTATCCTTACATTGTGAACTAGCTATCAGTAGATACTAAAATATAATCTACCATCTTAATTTTATTTGGTTGATTAAGTCTTTACAAAGATTCTGTATCTTAAAAACTGATAAATTTGCTTAAAATTTGGATTGTAAAATGACAATAAGGGATATAATGGAGCTCCAAGAATTGTTTGAAGGGTGTTTTGGAATATTGTCTGCAGTACTCCATCAGTCTGATATTTTGGAATAAGTAACATTATTTGGAATTTATCTGTATGATTTATCCTGTGTGATGCATAGATTTTTTTTTTAAAAAAAGAAAAGTATTAAAGCCACTTAGAGACTTTACATATTATTTCTCTTCTGGGAAGGAAGAGGAGGCTGCCAAGTGGGCGCGTGAAGAAGAGGAGGCAAAGCGCCGACTAGAAGAAAACAGGCTGCGCATGGAAGAGGAAGCAGCTCGACAGCGGCACGAAGAGGAAGAACGAAAGCGGAAGGAGCTGGAACTCCAACGCCAGAAAGAAATTCTGCGGCAAAGGCAGCAGCAGCAGGAGGCTTTACGCCGACTGCAGCAGCAGCAACAGCAGCAGCAACTTGCACAAATGAAGGTACCCACTCTGTTTTTTTCTGTTTTTTCCTGTTTTTTCTACTTCTGCAAAGTCACTCTCGTAAATTGTGCTCACAGCTCCAACCAGCACAGACTCTGCCTATTGGTTGTGTTAAAATCAGGGCTATTTTGGGACAGGAACGCACAGGAACGGAGTTCCGGCTGGCTCCCAAGTTGACCACGCCCAGCAGGAACTCATTAGCATAATAGGACACACCCAACAGCAGAACTCATTAAGATTGGCTACATTAGGGCTGTGGCCTAACATGCAAAGGAGTTCCTGTTACAAAAAAAGCCCTGGGTCTTGACAACAAACAAGGTAAACAGAATAAGAAGCAAAAGGTGGGTGTGGCTGGATGTTGACACTTCTGGTAACATGGGGGTGCAGCCTAATATGCTAATGAGCTATGCTCTCATGGGTGTGGCTGGATATGCTAATGAGTTTCTGTTGTTGGGTATGGCCTATTATGCTAATGAGTTCCTGCTGGGCTTTTTCTACAAAAAAAGCCCTGATTAAAATGTACATTTCCATTGCCAAAGCTTGCCTTTTTTATACCCTTTCATCTCTGAAAACCTGAGATGCCTGTGAGGCTAGATTTACATTCAGTCAGTGGGTAGCTTGATTTTCCCCATCAGTGTTTCCATTCTTGCTGAGACCCCCTTTGCCAACCGGTTGCACCATTGAGGATAAGCCCATTCTGAGCATGAAATCAAACTGTCCAGCATGTTTAGGCAAAAAAATTTTTAAGCACTGAAAGTGTGTGTTAGTATTATTTTTAGATAACAGTCATCTGTTTGAATCACATCATTTTTCCTGATCTAGAAATTTGCATTTTGTTGGTATCAAAAGTGGGCATGGGGGGGCAATTCATTTTGTTGTATTACCTACCCCCTCATTTTAAAAAAATAACAATTCCTGGGTCTTCACCCCCAGCTTCCTTCTTCATCAACATGGGGTCAGCAATCTAATTCAAGGTCATGTCAGTCCCAGGCAACATTGTCATTAGCAGAGATCCAGAAGCTTGAAGAAGAAAGAGAACAGCAGCTTCGAGAAGAGGTAAATTTCACAGCTTGGAAAAAAGGTTTACAAAAGCTGCTTTTTAAAGTAATTGTTTGCTCGTCATACCTCAGCAGTATTCCATGTTTTGAAAGACATCTGCATCTGATGTCCTTGAATCTTGGAGTTCCTGGCTTTCTGTAGTTGTGCCTTGTAGCAGCTAGAGGTCACTGTGAGGCCTGCTAAACTTTCCATGTTCAGTTGATCTTCCCATTCAAGTTCCATCCACAGGAAAAAGCAAAGTAGAAACAGTATACTCAGCAGAAGGCAAAACAGCCATAGGGATACAAATTCAGTTCCCACTTCCTGTGTCTTCAGCCATCTCCTTCTTTCCTCTTCTCCCCCAGTACCCCAGCTGTCAGCCCCAGTAAAATAATCAAAGGCATTAAATGGTACTTCTTCCATCTGTGTAACTCATAGGTGCATTTTACCTTTTTGTGACATTTATCCATTTGCCTCTGCATTTTTAATTTCATTTTTACATCTTTAAATTTCAACGGCATGCCTTATTTCAGAATGCTGGATCACGAGAGTATGTGGAATTGATATCATGTCTAAGATAACATATCAAAATAGAATTACAAATCAAGAAGCTATAAGGGCTGATAAGTTCATGGAAATATGACCTTTGTTTCATGGAATGATAAGGTTTCATTTGAAACTTTGTAATGAGTGATCCTTTTGTATTTTTCTCCCTTTCCATTTTTTTCTTAAGAACAAATGGTATCAGCAAACCTCTCCGTTTCTTTCTTCTGTAAACGAGAAGTATTGTCCAATACTAGTGAAATAGCTCGAGGGCCCATATTGTATTATTCCTGAGTTCCTTAGCTCTATTCAAATAAAACAAAAAGCATTTAAGTAGAGCTGCAGGGTTTTCATGGATAGAAAAATTAGGAAGGAATTGGATGAAAAGGAGAGACTGGGCAGCACTTGGGTGTTTGATAAATATCTGTGATAAAGTATTTATTATGATTCCATAAAAATAAATATTCAGTACTAAACTAGTAATTTGTAAAAGTGTATTGTCACATAGGACAACATCATGCAGGTGACATTTCTGCACTGTAACTTGTAGCTGTAATTGTGATTGAAGGGAGACTGCATGAAAGCTCTGATGGCCACAGAGGATTAATATGTGAGTTGAGACAGGAGAGAAGTTTCATGAGAGAGAGAGAGATACCAAGCCCAAAGATTTTTCCTTGACTCTCTGTCAACAAACTACTATCTCAAGAGACCCACTTTGGTATAGTGGTTAAAAGTGGTAGATTCTAATCTGGACAACCGGGTTTGATTCCCTACTCCACATGAAGCCAGCTGGGTGACCTTGGGTCAGTCACAGTTCTCTCAGAACTCTCTCAGCCCCACCTACCTCACAGGGTGTCTGTTGTGGGGAGAGGAAGGGAAGGAGATTGTAAGCCACTCCGAGACTTCTTCAGGTAGTGAAGGATAGGGTATAAAACCAACTCTTCTTCTTCAAGTGCGTAGTGCTGAAAGCATGCAGCTGTTAATATTTAATTGTGCAGCATTTGTCTAACAGCGTTGACATAATTGGACAACACCAGTGAGAGAGTTGAACCTTTAAAAAGCAGAATTCAAGTGACATAGTTTACTTCCCATAGCAGATTTCAAACAATGAGTTTTCCTCTTGTTATAGGTAACATTTGAAAAGTTTATCATCATGTTTATGGGCAGGTGCCTTGTTCATGTGATGACTAGATTTAGTGTGTGATGGGAGTAATGGCTAGGCACTTCACACAACTTCTGCTGACTTCCACTTGCACTACGTTAGACAGAAGAGATTTTCAGGAGTTTCTTTTTAGAAGTACATTGTCTGCTGTTTGTGCAAAAAACAATGTGAGGGAGGTAGAATCCTGAGGAGTGTGTCCAGTACAGTTGTTAGGTCTCTTGCTTGCTTTAAATTTAAGGAATATGACTCATTCCATTTCTCATGAGAGACTTCACAATAAATTGTTTTTGTAAAGAAGTCATTTGTGCTGCCATTTTGCATTCCCCTATGTTGTTGGCATGAAAGCAAAGCAGGATATGTAGGCGGGTATATCTTCACTTGTGCATTACAGAAGTACTAAGTAGATAGTGTTTGACTAAATTAGCATGTCTGGGGCAAATTTAAGTAACAAAACACTTCTGTTTATATTTATTGCATCGTAATTAAAATTCTTTGTAGAAAGTGATGGCAGATTATCATGTATATATTGATGGAAGACCCTGCCTTTAATTTACCTTCTAGCAAAGGCGCCAACAGCGTGAACTAATGAAAGCCCTCCAACAGCAGCAGCAGCAGCAGCAGCAACAACAACAACAGAAACTATCTGGCTGGGGCAGTGTTGCCAAACCTGTAGGCACTACAAAATCCCTCTTGGAGATTCAGCAGGAAGAGGCAAGGCAGATGCAGAAGCAGCAACAGCAACACCAGCAGCAGCCAAACAGGTCCCGCAACACGACAGTGAGTCCCATTCCTAATTTTTCAGTTTTTAAAGAAGAAGCAAGAGAAGATCTCCCCAAATACCTTAACCCTGTTGTTGGGCTTATTTAGTTGAACCTGTTGCTTTCAATTTAGTAAGCATTTTATCCTGTTCTCTTATGTTCCAGCAACATTCTAATCTGCACACCAGCATTGGCAATTCCGTATGGGGCTCGCTAAACACCAATCCTAGCAGCCAGTGGGCATCAGACCTTGTCAGCAGTATTTGGAGCAATGCTGACACAAAAAACTCAAACATGGGATTCTGGGATGATGCAGTAAAAGAAGTGGAACCTCGTAATGCAACCAATAAAAACAAAAGCAATGCTAGCATCAGGTAAACCCCTCTTCCTTTTACTGGTGATACTCAGACCTGTTGTCTGAATTCTTTCGTTGGATGAGAACTGTCTGTGAACTCTGCTGTTTGTTCAGTGCAACCAGAATCTCATAATGTTCCATGCTTTCTAAGCTGCCTTGGGCATTTTTTAAGGGAGAGGGCAAATTGTAATTATTTTGAGTATGTTTTCGTTTCGCTCTTGTGTCTTTGTACCTTTTTATTCGTGGATTTGGCAGAAGGCAGAAACTTCTGTAAAACAGCTGGAATTTAGCAATCTCCAGTCTTACGCAGCATGTGTTTGTGGGAAATGTATATCTTCTCCTCATATTCTGCTTTCATAAAGTGTTTGTCTGCCTTAGTAAATCTGTAGGTGTTACAAGCCGGCAGAATAAAAAGGTAGAAGAAGAAGAGAAATTGTTGAAGCTGTTTCAAGGGGTTAATAAAGCCCAGGATGGATTCACTCAGTGGTGTGAACAAATGCTTCATGCACTCAACACAGCTAACAACCTGGATGGTAAGAACTAGAAAAGAGTGTGAATGTTTCACAGTGTGTACAGATACAATCAATGTATCACAGCTGCACACTAAATTTATGGTGGTCTGCTCTGTCCACTGTTAGAACCATTAAGAAAAATCCCACAACAATCTGCAGAGATTAGAACATAAGAGACGCCAATGTTGGATCAGGCCAAAGGCTCCAGTCCAACACTCTGTGTCACACAGTGGCCAGAAATACCAGTGCCATCAGGAGGTCCACAAGTGGGGCCAGGACATTAGAAGCCCTCCCACTGCTGACCCCCCCCCCAAGCACCAAGAAGACAGAGCATCACTTGCCCCAGAGCCCCTATCTATACCTTGTGGCTAATAGCCACTGATGGACCTCTGCTCCATATGCTTATCTAATTCCCTTTTGAAGCCATCCATGCTTGTAGCCGCCACCACTTCCTGTGGGAGTGAATTCCATGTGTTAATCACTCTTTGGGGGAAGAAGTACTTCCTTTTATCCGTTCTAACCCGACCGCTCAGCAATTTCATGGAGTGCCCACGAGTTCTTGTATTGTGAGAAAGGGAGAAAAGTACCTCTTTCTCTACCTGCTCTTTCCCATGCATCTATATATCTAATAGTGAACTTGCCCCCGGAGTGCGGATCGCTAAATCAGCGCTCCGGGGGCAGCTGGGGGGCCGGGGGAGGTTTGTGCACACGTGGGCCAGTCCCCACGTGTGCACAAAAATTAAAAAAGTTAAAAAAAATTTCGGGGGATGTTTAAATCCCCCCGAAAGTGCAAGAGCGTAGCCTCCTCCCTGGAGCCGGCAGGCAGGCAGGGAGGGAGGGCGGGCGGGGGAAGACAGGCCTCGAGGGTCCCCCTCTTGTAATCTTATAAACCTCAATCATGTCACCCCTCAGTCATCGTTTCTCCAAGCTAAAGATCCCTAAGCGCTTTAACCTTTCCTCATAGGGAAAGTGTTCCAACCCTTTTATCATTCGAGTTGCCCTTTTCTGCACTTTTTCCAAAGCTATAATATCCTTTTTAAGGGTAAGGTTTTTTAAGTTTTTTTTTTAAGTAAGGAGCTGCGGTGGCTCAAGTGGTTAAGACGCTGAACTGCAGGGTGTGGAAGATCAGTAGTTCAGCAGTTCAAGACCCGAGTTGCCGCATGACGGAGTGAGCTTCCGTCTCTAGTTCCAGCTCCTGCCAACCTAGCAGTTTGAAAGCAAGAAATTGCAAGTAGATAAATAGGGACCACTTCGGTGGGAAGGTAACAGCGTTCCGTGCGCCTTGGTGTTTAGTCATGCCAGCCACATGACCATGGAAACGTCTTCGGACAGCGCTGGCTCTTCGGCTTTGAAATGGAGACGAGCACCACAACCCTAGAGTCGGACTTGACTGGCTTTCGAGCAAGGGAACCTATACCTTACCTTTTTTAAGTAAGCTAGAATCAGACCTGATGCTATAATTTAGGTTCTGAATGGTTATGTTGGAGATTTCATCATATATCTTATGCTGTTTCTCAAAAGTAATGCATTCTATATCTTAGTGATCGGGCAAGGGCTTTCTGTTGCCTTGAGGTGATCTTTCAAAATATGTATGGAGAAATTAACCATAACAACTAATACTGAAATGCTCTGAATTATTTTTCAGTGTCTGTATAGTCTGCATGTTCATCTCATGGCTCATCTTCCTTTCTTGTTGCAGTTCCCACATTTGTTTCTTTCTTGAAGGAAGTGGAATCACCTTATGAGGTTCACGATTATATCAGAGCCTATCTCGGAGACACCCCTGAAGCCAAGGAATTTGCCAAGCAGTTTCTTGAGCGCCGTGCCAAACAGAAAGCCAGCCAACAGCGGCAGCAGCAGGTCATATTTTTGTTTCGGGTTAATATTTGTATCTCTTATTGGAGGAACAGAAGACCTGCCTCTCTGGTTGTAGAGGCATAGGAATTTTTTTTGAAAGGAAAGCGAGCTACACTGTGGAATTGCCCAGAAGACAGTTTGTGTGTTAGTAGTGCAGCTGTTCTTTAATACCTTCTGTAGAGTGGGGGGGGGGGGGGGGATTCAGGTATAAAAAAATGTTGTCCAAAGAAGTATGGTGGAAGGTGGCTTGATGCTATTTATGTAGTCTTTCTGAGTAGGCACAGCATAATTCCAGCACATAATGAATAACATTATTTATTTGCCTTCCAGGATTCTGTCTGGGGGATGAACCATAGTTCATTACATTCAGTCTTTCAGACTAATCAGAGCAACAACCAGCAATCCAACTTTGAGGCAGTGCAGAGTGGCAAAAAGAAGAAAAAACAAAAAATGGTTCGTGCAGATCCCAGCTTGTTAGGTGAGTTCTAGAACGCCAAACTGGAATCGAATTGGCCTAACACCCTGATTGTAAACACCGCACACATCCTTCTGCAGTGTCAGAGCAACAGCTAGTTTTATGATGCATTAGGTTAACAGCACCAGAGTTCTAGGGATGAAACCAGAAACTAAGAGTCCAGAGGCAGTGATGGCCAGGCACTTTCTTGTGCTCTCTTGGAGCTGCACCCATGTTTAGCTACTGCCTACCTGGCCACTACTATCTGAGTACTCACTTCTGCCTGGCCCTTTGTTCTTACTGTGTTCCTTCCCCAGCCAGGACTCTGTATTCAGATGTATGCAATAAGGTAGGCTGGTGAAGGCTGTGGGAGCAAGTTGCAGAAGGCTACCCAACAGCTTTCAGTCTTAAAAATGTTTGGTTTTTCCAGTCTGAGCCAGAGAGGTGGGGTTATAAAGGAAGGACATTTCTTGAATATTTTTATATAGAACTTGACTTTACTAGGAAGCTTGCTCACTTGTACTTATATAGTAAATCTAGTAAAATAGAAAATGAAAGCATTTTAGACCTCATCCTGCCTGAGTAGTTAAGCAGAAGTTAAGTGCCTTGGTGGCACAACCAAGTTCTGCCTTGAATACTACTTTAAATCATTACTGGATATTTAAGGAGAGTCATCAATATTCTGAGTTCTTTGCCAAAGTGTGGTGTTGGGATATGATTTGAGGGAAGTGTCACTTATTAATGTCCAGAATGGGTTAATTTTCCTGTCGGCATGGATGATAGTGCTCTTAAAATGACTTAAATACTGTATTTACTCAAAAGGAAGACAACCCTATATGAAAGACAAACACACAACTAAAAATGTTACACAAGACGTTTTTTGTTATTGGACATAGCTGTAATTTGCATGTGAATTTAAGATGGAAACAACCTCCCCCCCTTTATGGTGTACCTGTCATTTTTGACTCACATTACTTCTGTTCCTTTAAAAGAATCTGTGAATAAGTGCAGCGCTTCTGTGTATTAAATACTCTGTCTTGCTTTGTAGGTTTCTCTGTCAACGCCTCATCAGAGCGGCTCAATATGGGAGAAATAGAGACTTTGGATGACTACTGAGTATATGCAACTCGACTGGCTTCTCGTGTGTCTGTTAACCATGCATTCTCCACTGCTGGACAGTACTTTCTGTCTCCTGCAATCATCTTTGCCTTGCAAAATGGACCCCAGAATCAAATCATCTCAGGCTGCTTTTTCTAGCCTCAACAAGTCCTTTCTGCCCAAGATTGCACAATCTCCTTCATTTATATCAGCCTCTGGTTCTTTCTGCTGGGTAGGTGGGAAAAAAGATTTATTCATGAGGCTGAGGGCAAATTACTGTGCTGTGATTTCTTCTCCCAAGTTATTTGGAAAGCCATTTGGAGGTCTACATATGGTAGCTTCCTTCCCTTCCTTCATCACTCTCATCCTATCTAACTGGTGCAATCATGGTGGAGAGCTCATGGTTAACAGATGTCATTCAAAACCAAAATGCCACGCAGATCCTGACTTCCATGCTCCGTCAGGTCTAAAGATGCCTTCCGTATCTGGAGGTACATTCATAAGCTACCACTAGAGCTGGAAACAGCAGGAAGCGATGGGCAGCATACAGCTTGGATTGGATTGGATTTGCACATCCCTGCCAGCCCTTCTTCAGCACACTGAATCTGGAGAGGAAGTTTAAGTCTGTCTTCATCGGGTGGTGATGTCAGAGCTGCTGGAAGTCATGTTTCAGCATGCTCCAGCCTTCCTGGACAATTGGGGACTCAAGTTGTGGGAGGAAGCATACATCTCTTATTTCAGGCTGAATTTTCCTGTAATTATACTTCCTCCAGAGTGATTGGGCCAGTTATTTTGGACCCTTCTGCTGTGAATTTGTCTCGTTTCAGAGACGCATAGGATCTTTACCATCTGTATCTTCACCTGTTGGTTTTGTGTGAGAGTTGACACTACTTTTGGAACTTGAAACCTAGCCAGATTCATCTGGTGACATATGGTGATGGTCCAGAATTTTGTAAGTTCTGCAGCAGCATTAACGCCAAGAGCAGGGAGCTATCATCTTCCAAGTGAAATAAACGAGACAAGGAATCTGAGCATTAGCAGCGTCTCTGTTTGTAAAAACCACATGGAGGGATAAAGTAAGGAGTGCTGATCCTCACTATGTAGTACACTCTCCCATCACTTCCAGTCGACTGTGCTTAGATACTTGTCACTCAAAATCTTCTGTCCCTACCACCAGAAATGTTAAACCATCTGAAATGGCCAGTGCACTTGGTTGTAGTCCCCTGCCCACGCTCCCACTTGCACAGGGTTGCAGTGTGCCCATGGAAGTTACGCTGCTGCGTGAAGCATCTTTTTCTGCCATTGCCGCCTGAAGAAGAAAACTGAAGTTACTCCAGAGCAGTTTGATTTAGATTTTATTTCATTTGATTTTTCTTCTCTTCTTCCTCTTCCCCCAATGTGTACAGTAACTATACAGAAATGGCTGCAGACTTGTATATAGTTTTTGGATCCAGTAGCACAGAGAGGCTGGGAGGTGCCACAGATCTGGTCTCCTGATCTCCTTTGCTTTGTAAACCTATAAAGGGGAGGAAGGGGGTAGTTAATGTTTACAGAACTTTAAATTCCCTCTGAACTCTTGCTAATATGGGGGGGGTGAAAAAGAGAGAACTTAAATAAAACCTGGTTGTGTTATACTTGAGCACACATTGTTTGCTTTTGTCAAAGCCAGCTTTGGCAATTTTTCCTGGTGCTAAAATAGACCTCAAAATCTACTCGTATCCCTTTAGTCAAGTAACAATCAAGAATACAGGACATGGAAGGACAGCAGCAGCTTTATTTCATGCCCCTAGAGGAATGTTGGTGGTTTTTCTGCTTGATAATTTTAGAGGTGAAAATAAACATCAGTTAAGTTGAGATTGGACCTGTTTGGAAAATCTTCCCTTCTTCCATCCACAGACACACCCCCTTCCATGCTCTTGCCTTGTTTATGCAAGAGGAGCAAGACTGGCTAGTTCTTTTTAAAATCGTAAACATGTATTTAAAAGGGAGAGAGAGCTCAGTGTGAACAAAACAACTACTACACAGAAACCAGGATAATTTTTTAGCAAACCCAAAGAGATGACTCTAACCCAAGCCTAGAATATTCTGCCCTTTAGGGACAGAGGAAGTTTTATGCAGCTCTTAAATATAGACATAACCAACTTCTTATTTTTCACTTTTTTCCACAGCTAGTTTTCATTGACTCCTTTGTGATGTCAAAGGAATTCAGTGAGGTGTGAGGATGAGATGGGGAAAGTAACTGATGACCAAATCAAAGGAGAGAGAGTGGATGCTATGGAAGATTTCAGATCTTCTACTTGTGCCTTTGTGCATTTGTGTCTGTCCTTGTTGCATGGTCACTTTAAGTAAAAACTCTAAGACTCTTTCCAAGGGAACCTCACCCATCAATTTTTTTTTAGAGTTTTGAATATGGGTAGCTTATTTTGCATCATAATTAGGAATTTAACCCTGTTTTTGCAGCATTTTGTTTAGGGGGACGTGAATAATTTTGGACCATAGGAGAATTATAAAGCCACAGTAGATGTAATTTAATTTGGCCAAACTTTGCACAACAAGGGAGTTTTGAAGCTCACAACTTGAGCCTGTCTTTAAGGCATAGTTTCATATATAAAGTGACCCACCTGGAGCTCGTTATAGTGAGTCTTTTTCATCTAATAGGCTGAGGGCAACTTGAAAGAACAAGATGGATCTGTTTATGTCAAGTAAAATAAAAAATCATGAAGTATGCACTATCCTTTATATTAAAAAACACCCTGTTCTTTTAGCACTTTGTTAAAGTTTTTACTCATTTGCAAGAGTGCCTCTAAACTGAAAGTTAGAGTCAACCTACACTTTAAAAAAAATTCTGTTGCAGTGAGGGTGAATTTAGAGCATGGGATTGGATTGGTTCTTAAGTACTGCTGTCTGTCCTTCATGATTTTTAAAAAATTATTATACACGAAAGCAGCCCTGATTGTGGGGCACGCATGTCAGCAGTGGAAGCCATTTGAATGATCTGTGATTTTTTTTAGTAAAACAGGCTGAGTAAAGACATTTTGTGTTTCTTTTTGAATGTAAATTCTTAAGACAGCTGATGAGCATTTCATCATGCTGAACATCCTGGAAATGTTTACCCAAAGTGTTGATCACATGTGAACTGGGTGCTGGCAGATGCTACTCTGAAATGATCTGCCTCTAGAAATCTGTCTTCTCCTCAAGTGCTGGATCTGTACGAAACACTGTAGCTGTGCATGCTATGGTGTTTGCTCTATTAAAAACTATGGCACTTCTAAATGAATGCCTTTCAACTCAGTCTGTTGCCCAGTTGATCCGATTATTGATTTAAATCTGCCTAGTTTTGCATATAAGAAGCAATAGTTCTCAAGAAAAAAAAGCATTCTTTGGTTTTAGGTTATCTGCACATGTGTCATAGCACATGACAAGGAATGCTTGTTAAGGTGATGCTTACCGCATGCAATTTTTAGAAGTACTTACCAGTAGGTTGGATTCTGTGAATCCATTCCACTAGCAATAGTGCCTTCCTTTGGTACAAGGAGAGGAAAGCACCACTTTCGAACCAGCATAAAACTTGTTTTTCAGTTAATTGATTGGGGCTAACTTTTTAGTTGATCAAAAAAGTTTTTAATGCCTCTGTTGGACTGTATGTTACATCTTTAGTTTGAATACTGAGGTATCCATTTTTTACAGTGTCTGTAGGTGATCTCTGAAACAGTCAACTTGCCCCTTCCCCAGCTATGATTCTTTCCATATCTTTAGCTGAAGAGGAAACAGGGCTTTAAAAGAATTCATATTCACACAGTATCAGTTTGAGGGATAATTTAGATAGATGAAATGCAGGGAATGCCTGTCGTTTTTCCTCATTTGGTCTTGATAATGTCTTACGATCGAGCAGACACTTCTGACACCTATAACCCTAAAATTTCTGTGGTCATTAAGTTTTGTTATAAGCTGGCTGCTGAATTCTTACAGGATGTATGGTTTAGCCTATCCAAATATACGCCTGCTTTTTGGCTTAGCATTTTTAATGAATGCTGTTATTCACCACTGTCCTTAACATAGGGTGATGTTAGATGTGTACTCTGGTTGTTAGACACTCGGTGCAGTCCTTGGCGCCTTTGGGGTTTTGCAGCTAACTGCCAGAGGGAGTATACATTGCTCTGGTGGAAAGGGTTGGGTCTGTGGAATGGCTGGGGGGGGGGGAGTAGGGCTAAACTGTAAGAGGGTGGAGCTGCCTTCTGCCTGGAGGAGGTAGATCTGTCAGTGTCAGTAGCTGTATGTGGATGAGACTCTACAGAGGGATTGCAACTCTTGTGTGTACACATGTGAAGAGATTTGAGAGCTGACTAGACAAGGTTTCATTTAGCCTCCAAAACCTGCTTCCTCATTAAGGCTTCAAAGAGTTTGAGCATTCCCAAAGGCATCTTGATTCCTGAAGGAGGCAATGCCCCACACCACAGTCCTTCGTCTCATCCTGTTGACGCTGTCTGGCATCTTGCTCCCTTTTGTGAAAGCAGGTAAGTTTGATTTCTTCTCTCTGGCCACCATTATACCCTAACTCACTAGACTGTATCTCCTCACCTTGTTCTCCCTTGTTTTTTCCTCATGACATTCAACATTCCTCCCCCAGTTAGTGTACTGGCAACTACTGATGAGCAAGAGAATTTCTAAACCTCACCCACATTTGGAAGTGAGGGTGGAAAGAGGCCTTTTAGACCATGTCTTTAGGAGAACGAACTGCAGAGCTAGTTCGAGACTTCATTGCTTCAATGCATAATTGTGCCTGACGCTTAGAGGGAGAGTTTGCTGATAATGTCACTCAGGACCGTGTCAGTTCTGTGATTCAGTAGGGATAATGTACAACCACAGTGTTTCATGCCATGTGTCGAATTCAGCCCTTACGATAAATGCATGGGTATACCGTATAGTAAACCGTATAGTGGTTAAGAGGCAGGGTTTTGGTGTCTGTTTTTCCCTTTACGCAAAAATTAGCAAATGTATCCCAGAGTGCTGAATGTGCGCGAGATACAGGCTGCAGATTTTTTCCTTGGTGCTGAATTCTGTAATACACAACCATAGTTACTGATTCTCTGGACTATCTAGGTTAGCTTAGAGTTCACAGCCGTTTCTTCATTGTTCTGGTTGGTACCTTGAAAATAACAGCAGAGTTCAATGTTAGGAAAACTTAAGGTTGGATCCTACCATCTTTTCCACGTGATCCTAGCTTTTCCCCTCCTGGCTGCAGCTCCCATGCTTTTGTCCACGGAGGTCCAATGGATTCCACAGTATTCTCTTTCTGGCGGTCCTGTGTCATGAGCACAAAAGCTGATAGGTCCAATCCATAGGAAAAAATGTAGTGCAAATTAATCTAAAACTGCAAATGTTCCTTTTAAAACAGCTGGCAATTCTGGAATTGCACATAATTTACTCTTATGCTGGGCAATCTACTTGCATGATTTAACAACATTACTGGATGGGGCATGTTTAGAAAAGGAATTAGCAGCCTTTTGTCTCACTTTTTCCTTCTGTGTATTTGGAATTATGTTACTGCTGGTATCATTAGCAAAATGTATAAGCTGCTGTTCTGCTTCATGCAAAACTTTGTAAGAGTTTTGCCTGACTGAAGGCTAGAAGTCTTCTTTATCGTTATATAACATTTTAAGCAGAGATAAAACATGCAAGACATATGTACACAGAGTGTGCCGAAGTGAAATTCCTGTTGTTTGATTTGCAAATATAAATGGGAATAGCTTGCTGAGGAGATCCAGAATATTAGTAAGACGTAGTGTGGGTGCCCTGCCTATATTAGATTGAGTAAGATGGACAACTTTTTACATGCACAGCGAACATTTGTGCTAGTACAAATGTTGCGTAAAATACATTGACAAATGACCGGTCAGATGAGATCTCTGTCTTTTATATTGGGACAAGATGAATTATGCACAAGAAAATTTTACCTGTGCAGGATTATGAAATAGCTTCTGAAGCCTTATTGTAACAAAATGGGCTACAAAACGATGCTGCATGTACTAAATGTACAAGGATAGTACCAGAACATTTCAGTTTCTCAGTGCTTCATTTCCAGTGGCAGAGTGAAAAATCAATCAACTAAATATCTCATTCACCTGTCATGAAGACTAGTTTCTTTTCCAGGAACAAAATGGGCTACAAAACGATGCTGCATGTACTACATGTACAAGGAGAGTACCAGGACATTTCAGTTTCTCAGTGCTCCATTTCCAATGGCAGAGTGCAAAGTGAATCAACTAAATACCTCATTCACTGGTCAGAAATACTAGTTTCCTTTCCAGGTGTGTCATCAAGAAAAAGAGGGGTCCATCTTAAATTCACATAGTTTTGTACCATAATAAAAAAATATTTTGTGCATAATGTTTTTAGAGGGATTGTCCTGCATTCAGATTTGTCTAGCTTTGGGGAAAATAAGGGTATTTAATTTTAACATATAAAGTTAGTGAGGGTAGATGTTTACAAGTATGGTAAATCCTGTAATTTGATGGATTTTTTATTTATTTATTTATTTATTTAGATTTATTCCCCGCAGAGCGGGCTCAGGGCGGCTTACAAGGGGCAAAGCCCACATAAAACAGATAAAAGCAATAAAAACATTAATAACAATTAATAGCAATTGTACTCATTTAAATGTACAAGGATCTACATTACGTGGCTCAGAGCATTAAAGACATTGGTTCCACATCTGAAGTCAGCTGCTGCTGAAGCACTATCCTGGAAATCTTTGTGTTTTCCATCTTTCGAACCAAAGTAGCTAATACAGTTACCTGTATTGGATGAACACAGTTCCTGTTTGCTCTGTTGTATTCCTATTTGTTAAAAACAGCAGTAATCTATTATTTATGTTGTTATGGTTGCATACTTTATGTTTAGCCATGAACCTCTCAAGGCAGGTGATCTCACATAGCATTTCCTTATGCTGGTTCCCTGTGCAACAGCCCAAAAGATTACTCTGTATGTGGTCATTCTCTCTGGATTGACTGACAATCATTGGTTTCTCATTTATTCAACACTCAGTTCACAGATGAATGTGTGATTTTCCACTGAAAAAACGTGTTTGATTTGATATTTTTTTCTGTAGTCTTTGACCTGGTGTGGCTTATTCCCCTATTACTTGATAGTGCAGTTATCATGTGATGAACTTGCATGTGAGGGCTTTCCCTAGCTTACTGGTGATAGACTGAAATATGCAAAGACCACCTTCTGAGTTTGTGCTTGGATTCCAGCTTCATCCCTGGTCTAACGTTTGTTTGTTTTTATATTGAAAATTATATCTCGCCTTTCCTTGTGGTTCAGGTTGGCTTACAATAAGAGTTAAAAACATTTTCAGTTTAAAACCAAAAATAAAAAACACAAGATTTCTCCCCTCTTCCTTAAAAGATGCCTCCCTTTCAGACCCTCTCAAAAGCCCTGGCAAACTTGCAGCACCCCCTGAAGTTCTCTAAGGAGGGCGCTCCCTCATTCCATGGAACAGGAGCCATGATGAAAAAGTTGATGCCAGATGGGCCACCAGATAGCTGCCTGATACCATAGTTGGTGCACAGGGACATATGGAAGGAGACTGTCCTTCAAATAACATTCTACACATCAGATGATGTAGCTGTGCCTGTTTCTTTGGTGCTGCCTTAGTACATAAACAGATAATAGAATAGAAAAAGTATACTGTGTGACAAGGTATGTAATTGTTGAAAGGTCCTGCAAAGGGTTATTAGTTTTTCGCTTTGCGTTTTTGGTTTTTTGTATTTTAACTAAATAGTTGAGGAAAAATTTTGCCTAGTCCCAACAAAGCAATGAAAGGTGTACAGGCAGTCCCCTAGTATGCCCAGATATATACATAGTCCCAGCCTTTTTGTAAACAAGTTTATTTAACATTCAGCACAACCATGGCGCTCTGTGTGGACCAAAGCTTCAGTTTGCACCATCACAGACTTCCCTTTGTGCCTCTGAAGAAGGGCTCTTTTCATCCATGCACTGGCCATGTGCCATTGTGGCTACCTGAGTCCGTACTGCCCACTCTTGGTCTCCAAATGCACTTGGTCCCAGGTTTTTCTGTGTCAACGTCTCCTGGCTTTCCACAGTAGAGCCCTCCAAAGTGGGCAGGGAGATCTTGATCTAATCCCAAAGGTACTACTCATATTTTAAATCTTAGCCGTTTATAAACCCAGGGGACTGGCCCTTCACTTTATGTCACAGTACTAATATGAAAACCAGTTGAATACCTGAAACCCTCCATCATATTGCAAACAGAAATCAACATAACTGAATCCAGAGTCTAAACTGAAGTTTGTGGGTGAAGGAACATCAGGCAAAGAAAGAATCAGTATTTAAGTAACCTACTTAAATTTACTGAGGAAGGCAAAGCCTTGCCCTGGGGCTTAATCTGAGCCAAGGCTAACACCATTTTGATCCTATAGACAGTTTGAAATGCTGATGCTCAGCCCTGCACCAAACAAGTTCCTTTGAACATGTGCAGAGTGTCATACCTTCACTAAAGTGTTTTGTGACACTTTTAAGACTAACAGAGAAGTTTTTTTAACTAAGGCCACTTAATCCAATGCATGAAGTTGTTATCCAGATTACTCGTTAACTATACCAATCCCCGTCTATCTAAATTTAGGGGGAAAGAACATAGAACAGTAGGCTTGCTTCCATAAAGATTTGACTTAATGGTTTCTGCTTCCATGTTGTCTAAACATACTCAGCATCAGTAAAATCTATAAACAGTGGCAACACAATCGGGTATAACTGTGGGTTGGATTCTTAGGTGGCCTGTCGATGCAGAAAGTATCTGTTGTACACCTTGGGTTGGATCCAGACTAAACTAGCAGTGTTTAGATTCCTCCTTCCTGCCCCCCCCCGCAAAACCCCCCCCCCCCCCGGTCATTCATCAGGGTTCCCATTTCATGGAGTTCAGTGGGCTGCAGTGGGAGGGGGGAGGCAGGAAATTTCCATTCTATCATTAGAAAATTTAGTGTGGATCCAACCCCATGCACTAGAGCACTGCATAAGAAGGGGGGTATTATCTGCTTGCACAAACTCCTGTGCACCTTAGAAGCACAAGGACTGCTATAGAATTTCTCATAATGCTGCACAAATTCTTGTGTAAGGGCTAGCAGAATTGTGTCTGTTTTCCCTCCACTCATAGCCCTTGTTATTCACTCATCCCACATGGTTGTTATAGATATCCACAGTAAGGTGTGGGATGGAACTATGCAGATAACACCCATAACTCATAGGTAATAAATCCAAGAAGTTATGCTTGTAAGAATTGCAATTGCACCACATGAGGAAACATGGATGGTAGTTCTGACCCTTCTTTTGTACCATTCTGTAGGACAAGTGTGTAATGGACCAGGGCAGCTGAAGAGTGATAGACTTGGATCCGTTCTGGGAAGGTATCAGGCTTCCTAATACCACCCTCTGTGCACATGTCTGTCTTTATTTAGATTTTAATGAAGCTTAAAATGGACAGTTACAAAAAAAAAGG